TTTAAAATAATCCCCCCCCCCCCCCCAAAAAAAAAAGAAGTTAGATTTTATTATGTCATAGTACCCAGTGGATTCTCATATCTCCAGAGACATCAGCAATGAGAACTTCCCAATGACAGCATTAGCCATTAAGAAACCAAACATGGCCATTCTTAGTGTAAAATATATGCACATACAGCAGCAAGATAAACACCTCCACTCGGGTGGGCAGAGCTGAGAACATGCAGAGATCCGATCCTTCTTACAAAGAAACCTAGACCCAGCTGGTACTGGGCGACTCAGCCCTGCTGAATCCATATAAATTACATTTTTAGCTGGTCCTAGCCTTGAATGTAAATCAGTCCCTGTATTACCCTAATAGTCTCTACTGTTGAACCATTCTGGAAGTACTGCAGGATCTTTAGTTCCACAACATGTGAAAACTACATCTGTCCACTCCATTAGAGGTTTCATATCTGGCCATGTCCAGTATGGAGTCATCAGGGTTACTTTTTTCCAATTTAAAATAAAATGTTTTGAGGTGTTATGTTTTCAGCAGCTAAACATGTATATGTGTTACTACTTAAAAAAAAAAAAATTATTGCTGTGTTTTAAAGGACAACTCCAATAAAAACAAATAGATCACATATTCGTAAGGACTGGTGGGATAAGGCAACGACTAATTTCTCAGTCACTCAGTTTACCCCCTTGAGGTTTCCCTTGTGGCAGATTGTGCCTCTGTGCTTCTCCAAACCTAACAAGGCACCTCTCACATTAGAGTGTCCTGATCAACAGATAGCTCTCCGGTGCTCCCTTGGCATAACTCCTGGTTGTTAGAATAAGCTTTATGACCACAATGGCCATGAATAAAACATATTACTCCCTTTAAGCTTGAATTTCTTTAAAGAATGGAGAGGAGGACATAAGAACTGTAGACATTACTGGGACTGTAATTTAGTGCTCTCAGATCACAAGCACTTGGCTCTAGTTAATGTGACCACATGGATGTGCCAGGACAGTGATATCTCACCAAGGGGAGAGATAGGACAACAATGGTGTGTGCTCTGCAGAGGTGGGACCAACCACTGTTTTCTTGAAAAACTTTACTGATTGACTAAAAAGCCCACAAGCGGTTCAGAATTCACTTTTATCTTCTCCTTGTGAAAAGAGAACAATCTGTCAATGGGGGAAGGAGGATCAGTTGCTTAATGGACACACAATCTAAATGCACTCAAAAAGGTCCTATGCAACTCCCAAAGGGTGTAAAGGTATATAATTATAGTGCAACTAACCCCAATTGCCCCTCACCTTCCCCATCTATTTTATACCTCCCAACCATGTCCAAACCCTGTAGCCCACTCTGCATGCCACTTTAACATTTCACATTTTGGAGGGTCCATCTCTTTCCAGGCACTGATCTGAGGTCTGTGTTTGGGTGTGTATCAAAAGGGCTTCATTACCATATAATTACAGTTATCCTAAGCTGAGACAATAGCCTTCCTTCATTCTTTAATGCAAAATGTTTGGCCCTCCATAGTCAAATGAGGTTGCATATGAAGCTCCGGAATTCTATCTGGTGGATCAAAATCCATGGAGGGCACAGCGTACCAAGATCGCGCCTGTAATAAGATTAGTTGTACAGAACTGGTAATTCTGGAGGGGATAACGCCTCTTCCCCACAAAGCCCCTAAAATAAACAAGAACAATGTTTTCCACTAAATTTAAAAATGAAATATTGAAATATCTGTTTTGAAAGGAGTTTACCTTTAACTTTGCAAATTAAAAAGCAAAAATCGTTACTAAATAAATTACTTCAAGCCCACCTCGTTCCCGACACTGCAAAATATTGCTCTGTACACAAATTGTCTTTTCTCTTCTGGAGCACAAAACAATCTTCTGCTCAATTTGCATTTCCTTAAATGAAGGGGAGACGGTGACAAAAAGGTACAATGGAAGCGTGACTGTGCAGGTGACGGCAGTGTTCACAAGCACACAGATGTGCAGCTATGCCTCAGAGCTGTGTGCTGGGACAGATGCTACAATCGATCTGGTAATCTTTACCATTTAAGGTAATCAGTGATGCAGTGAGGATCTTCGAAGCATTATAGTGTCGTGGTGTCTGTCGTGTCAGAACCAGAACATTTGGAAGACTGTACTAAAGTTGCAAGCCACAGACATTTCATCCTTTCCTTTAGCAGCTTAAGAAATCAAGACCAAAACCCCATAAATTAAACTTCTCTGTACAGGTATTAGGATGTGTTTAAATGAAAACCGGCATGCCTCCAGCAAAATCCTTTTCTCGCAGTAATTCTTGGCGTGGGTCAAAAGCAACAAGACTTAGGAGCCGTCTGCCTGCAAGTGCCAGGACATCAGATTGAAGCTTTGTCGCTGTAGAATGGAGTGACGTGGAACATATAACAGTGTGTGCAGACGCGGACTGGTTTCATCTGCCCGTATCGTGGTAGTGGGGCAGAATGGGAAGAGCAGCGGGAACAGAAGATCTGGAAGAGAGGAATGAAATACATAACAATTATCTGGCTCACAATGCAGAATATCGGAAAAACATATTGCTCGCACCAAGGAAGGGCTCACAATGAAATGAGCCCTTCACAATGAAAAGTTGGCATAGAAGTGGACACTGGAACCTGCCTATCCGCATAACCCTGCTAATCCTTTTATGAAGTAGGCCTGTAGTGGAGACCTATGCTGTTTGTGTTATGGTAAATACTTGCCGACACCATGCCTGAGCAATAGGTGTCAGCACGGCCATTTTGTCTCCATCAGAGGCACATATGACAGGATTACCAGATTTAATTGAAAAATGACTTGTGAAACCACATATTTAGATTCTAGGTTTTGAGTGTAGATCTACTTTAAGGCTTCTATTTTTTTTAATCTGACTTTTTTCTTTTAATAGATCGCAATATCCGTAAGGAGGCTCATATATTTAATTCTGTACCAGCAGCCCACAGTCTTTCTTCATTGCATGACAACTACCAGACAACGGGACACAGTGTCTCTCCTCCCTACACCAGCATGCAACCTGGTTGTCAGAGAAATGGGGCATGGCACTGCTGCTCCCCTCCTGCCAGACTGCATCCTGGTTGGTGGACAATGGGATACAGCCTCCCTGTTGCTTGCTGCTGCCCTGTTCTCTGCTCAGCTCCCTTGTAAATTGCCTGCAACTTGTCTTGGCACATGCCCCCTGGCCCTGGCCATTGGCACAGCAGACATCTGATTTCAAGATTCTCAGCCTGTGCTTCTGTGAGTGAGATGGCATTACTGTTGACCAAGTGCGCCCGATCAGTCTGCTTGTTCCGCTTACAGATTTTTTGCTATGTTCACAAATTTTGCCTACTGTCGGCCACTTTCTCTGTACTTTGCTACAATATTCATGGATTACCCCTATTATCTGCTGCCTTCCCAGACCTTTCCTATGTTCGCAGACACGCCTACCGTCTGCTGCCTTTCCAGACCTTTCCTATGTTCGCAGACACGCCTACTGTCTGCTGCCTTTCCAGACCTTTGTTACATTCATGGATATGCTTACTGTCTGCTGCTGCCAGCCCTAAACTTTGCTACGTTTATGGATTATGCCTGCTGTAAAGCATCAGTCCTTACTCCATTGGCGTGCTCGTCATCTTCATTGTCTCTATCACTGCAGTGATAGAGACGGCTAGAGGTTGCCTACCCCTATCCCAGGGGAACCTAGTATTGGTTGTCTCCAGCATGACTGAGCCCTCGTTCACACCTGAACGTTTTGTAGCACGTTCTACGCTCGACGAACGCTCTACAAAACGCTCAAAAATATAAATCCCATTGTATTCAATGGTCTCATTCCCACCTTGGCGTATTTCCGCCTGTCCCTAACGCGCTACAAAACGGCCCACGCCTGAAAAGGTACAGGTACTACTTTGGGCCGTTTTGTTGCGCGTTTCCATTGGGATACAGCCAAGTAGCCTTCGGAAACGCGCAACTTTTTTACCGCGAATCGCGGTCGCGCGACAGACGCGCATATGCAATACGCCTAGGTGTGAACGAGACCTTAAGTGAAGGCGGGAGGGAGAATGTGGTTGGCTGCCAGGAACAGACATTTTCATACATGAAACCTAGCATGACTTAGTGTAGCTGATGTGGAACATGCATGTCCAGATACACATCCCTACAGCTCTGATCACCCACATCTAATGCAGAACTATGCATTACACACAGCGGCGGACGCCTTTCTGATGACCTTGCAGTAAGTGGGAATGTACAAGCACAGAATATAAATGTGAGAAATGAGATGTAGCAGCACGATTTAACAACTTGCATTATATTTCTAACAAATTACCCTTTGTTTTACATGCAATGACGTCTCACCGGGGGCCCGGTAATTGTTTCATGATTCACTCCGGCTTTAATGTCTGGAAAATATATGCGGAAGTGCAGTGAAGACGGCATGAGAACGGGTGTGATTTATTCATGATTATTACACAGGCCCACTGCAGTTTTCTGTAGTCTACACAGCACAACCTCTCTATGACAAGAATATTAATTGATGACCTACCAACAGGCAGCCCAAAGCCCTCATAAACCGGATGTTTAAAAGGTTATTCCAGCCCAACATAAAATCTATTTCTGGCATACCAAGTACGGGCTTTGACTTGATCCACCCGTTTTCAGACTATGCACAATAAAGATTCTAAAGTCTGTTTTCAGCAGGTTTCTTACAGCTTAGAACACCTGATGTGTTTACATTAAAAGACGGGCAGGCTGCCAAGAATACGCTCGACGAACGCTCTACAAAACGCTCAAAAATATAAATCCCATTGTATTCAATGGTCTCATTCCCACCTTGGCGTATTTCCGCCTGTCCCTAACGCGCTACAAAACGGCCCACGCCTGAAAAGGTACAGGTACTACTTTGGGCCGTTTTGTTGCGCGTTTCCATTGGGATACAGCCAAGTAGCCTTCGGAAACGCGCAACTTTTTTACCGCGAATCGCGGTCGCGCGACAGACGCGCATATGCAATACGCCTAGGTGTGAACGAGACCTTAAGTGAAGGCGGGAGGGAGAATGTGGTTGGCTGCCAGGAACAGACATTTTCATACATGAAACCTAGCATGACTTAGTGTAGCTGATGTGGAACATGCATGTCCAGATACACATCCCTACAGCTCTGATCACCCACATCTAATGCAGAACTATGCATTACACACAGCGGCGGACGCCTTTCTGATGACCTTGCAGTAAGTGGGAATGTACAAGCACAGAATATAAATGTGAGAAATGAGATGTAGCAGCACGATTTAACAACTTGCATTATATTTCTAACAAATTACCCTTTGTTTTACATGCAATGACGTCTCACCGGGGGCCCGGTAATTGTTTCATGATTCACTCCGGCTTTAATGTCTGGAAAATATATGCGGAAGTGCAGTGAAGACGGCATGAGAACGGGTGTGATTTATTCATGATTATTACACAGGCCCACTGCAGTTTTCTGTAGTCTACACAGCACAACCTCTCTATGACAAGAATATTAATTGATGACCTACCAACAGGCAGCCCAAAGCCCTCATAAACCGGATGTTTAAAAGGTTATTCCAGCCCAACATAAAATCTATTTCTGGCATACCAAGTACGGGCTTTGACTTGATCCACCCGTTTTCAGACTATGCACAATAAAGATTCTAAAGTCTGTTTTCAGCAGGTTTCTTACAGCTTAGAACACCTGATGTGTTTACATTAAAAGACGGGCAGGCTGCCAAGATCTACTTTCTATAGATAGCTGAGATTTTACTGCCCATGTTGTAAACTTTGAAAATTAGTTTCTCTGCAATGCTTTTCGATAAAGAGATGATTGAGGGCTTGTGCGTTTACTACTTGTTTAGAATACGCATATACTTCACTATGCATGAACTATGCACAGGTTTACTTTAAGGCCCACTGAGAAAGAGATGAGGTATTCAATACTCATTTGTAAAAGGTACTAGATTGTAAAGATTGTATATCAGTAATGAAAGAATACGTAAACCTTAAAAATGTTAAATGGAAATGTTAACTGTGCCTAAGCAGTACCCAGAAATATTTACCATTTGTCTTGAATTCTTCTTGAAAAATAGCACTTCCTAGTAGGTGTGTGCGCCTAAACATCCCCCTGTGCCTCACAGATATATATCTGTAGTGTATGGTCAATTAAAGATGCCTCTGGCTGCTGGTCTCATTAGATTTGAAGTGAGATGTGGTGATTTCACTTCCATGCTGCTCGCTGTTCTCCGTGCTGGAGAGGAATCGGAAACTGAAGATCTGCAGTGCACTTCTGCTTCATCCATTCTGTGAATTTATGTCCCACAAACAGCACCTTAGGAGGCCAATGAGAGCACCCACTTATGTTTATGCAATAGCATGAAGGGGTGGGGTAGCAGAACGGATGTTGGGGCCCCAGTTGTCAGAGATTTTCTAGTTACACAAAAGGAAATGGGTGAATAAAATGAATGCCTGCTTTTACTTTCTAATGTGAATTTTTAAAAGCAGCATGAGAGATACACTTCGACTGCAACCTACCTGAAAAACAGCAGGCAGGAACTGGCAAAGGGGTCGTTAGAGCCCCTTATCTATTCAATAAACCATGCAATAATGTGTTATTTTAATATCCTGAGCAACAAAAAAAAAAACCGAAAAAATAGTAGAATGTGTTTGGTTGCCATGAAAGAAAAAAATGTCCGTTTCCCAATTTTAGTTATAAATCAACCCCAGAGCTTTTTGTGCATGTTGTTACATTGTATTGCTTCCATCTGTTGAAGGAGGAAAACCCCTTAAAGTGCTGGAAACTGGTGCATGGAGAAGTATGGTCTATGGTAGACAGAATATTACCTTGCCACAGCTGCGGCAATGATGCTTCCTGCGTATCACTGTGAAAGGAGCTTTGCATGCAGTGCACAGACTGCAAGCTTCATCTGGGACCCAGTCAGGAGGATCTGTATTGAAAACAATAAAAAGGTTCGTCACAGGAGTACTCATCTTAATGTAAACCCAATCACTGAGTACCTACAGTAAGCAAACTACCAATACATTTCTCTGATCACACGGTTTTCATTTCATGGGTATGCAACCAGGTGCATGTCATGTGCAATGTATGCGTTCCTTGAAAAGCGAGAGGCACTGGACACCGAAGGGAGCCCAAACCTTTTAAACAACATTTCAGCAGTTTTTTTGTCTAGCGACAATTCATCGCTCCGCACAATTTTCAGTCTCCTTGTCTGGGTACAGTGCCAGAGGCGTAACTAGAACCTTCAGGGCCCTGGTGCAAGAAATCATAAAGCCATCGTCAATACCAATGGGCAGAGGCGTAACTAGAACCTTCAGGGCCCCGGTGCAAGAAACCATGAAGGCCCCCCCATCCCCCATGGCACCGCATGGTTAACAGGAAGGCTGCCGAGGTCCCCAGCAAGCGTGGGACCTCAGACAGCCGCTTGTTTAAAATTTTAGTGCCGGTGTTCCGTCGAGAATGCTGACCCAGTATCCACGCTTACGTACAGACGGGATTAACGAGGAAAACAGCATTTATTTATTTATATGCCGTCCATGGCAGTAAATGATGGACGGAATATTATTAACAGTCACAATTAACGATTTACCGTAAACTAAATACTTTGTGAATAAATACCGGTTTCCTCGATAATATTGGTCTGTGCGCAATCGCAGATGCTGAGATCGGCAAATTCGACTAGGTTAGCGTTCTCGACAGAACACCGGTATCTGCGTTTAATATCGGGGCATTTTCACGAGTATGAGTACACGTGAAAATGCCCGGTATTGGCACTGGTGTATCCCTACTGAAAAATATAATGCATTGCTGTGACTTGTAGTTCTACATAGTTGGAGCTATTCTGCATTGCTGTATAATCATCATACAGCAATGCACAATATCACCAGCTATGCGGTCCCAAGCAATACATTATAATAAAAGTCAGCACTGCAGAATATTACCAGCTCCTCCCCCTCCCACACACACACACACTTCCCCGCGCCCCCCCGTCCCTCTCCAGACTTACCTTCCCTCTCCTGCAGGGCCTTCTTCCTCGTCTCTGCGGCTTTGGCTAGGATGAGAGGGTCCTCACACAGCAGAATGTGCTGCCCGGCGGTGACTGCAGCACATTCTGCGGGACTGGCGACAGCCTCTCCTGCCCTGCCGCACAGCCGCCCGTACATCCTGCGGGTGGCTGTGCGGCAGGGAAGGAGCAGCACTATCTCGGGGGGCCCACTTCTTCCTCGCTGGGCTCTCCCAAATGGCGGAACGCCAGGGCCCGGTTGCAATAGCGACCGGTGCGACCCTGGTAGTTCCGCCAGTGGGTTGGGAGCCATCTGTGCTCCACAAAAAGCAGTAAGGTGAAAGCAAATGCCGCTCACCACAGACATCACCATAAAACTTTATTTAAATCCAAAATACTTGTGTCCCTATCCATAGACCACCCACCACTGATGGGTTTCATTCCAACAACTATGAACAAGCCTGCTGGGGTCTAACACTTCAGAAGTGGGTGGTCTTAGGGTGGGGACAGGAGCACGTTGGCTATTGAAATACAGTTTTATGTCCATATAGTGTGCAGTGTTTCCTTTGCGCCTTAGTATTTTAGCAGTGTTTGTACTGGTGTCAGAAAGATGCAGGGTTTGGGGACTGCTTTAAATCTAAAAACGTTCAAATCAGTGTAAATTTCGTTGACTAATCATTTTCATCAACAACACTTTTTCAGTGACTAGAACGAAGTTATGATGACTTAAACTTTAATGAAAACATACTGACATTTTAGCCGACTAACTGAAACGAGAACAAAAATGTTAGGGAGAGCCTATTTGGGAAGAGATCCAATCAGAACTCATCTCTTTGGACTTTCAGTTCCGGTTCCATCCTGAATAGACGGCTAATTGGTCATACAGTATGTGCAATGGCACTACAGCCAATGTAATTTTTCATTTTAATATTTTAGAGTTGCACTTCTGCTTGAAAGAATGAAGAAAGACATATGCAAGTTGTTATAAATCAATGCATATTATGTATTAACTTATTACTGGTTCTTGGATGAAAATACTCAATATTATCGTTTCTTTATAAAAGACTTGATTTAATCTATTTTTAAGATAAAGACATATTATATATCATAACAGGGTAACAGATGTTTACTCTAGAAATATATAATGAGATTGGGAATTCTAGAGAAATTCTTAAATTAACTAAACCCACTAGATTTTAGTTGACTAAATGTAGTGTAGAATGAGTCAACTAAAATATTATATTATGCAACAATACTAATATCGGCGCCGATAACGAATTCTCCCGATGGCGGTATTGGGAAGATGGGCTGTGAGTCATTGCACGCTGCCCAGCTTCCTAATTAGCCGAAAGGCGTGTAATGACTTTCCGATTAGCCGTCTCCATGCTCCCACGTCACCAGGTGACGAGGAAGCAAGGAGCCGGCTTTTTGGCCAATTAGGAAGCTGGGGGGCGAATAATGACTCGTTGCTGACTTCCTTAATGGGGACTTTCGGTATCCGCGAGTATAAAAAATAAATAAATACATGTATATGGTTACTCATACTCGATACTGAAACACCGGTATCTGTGAATCCATAACAAAACAATTCAGATGACAAACTAGTTTTAGTCGCTATTTTAGTCATCTGAATTGTTTTAGTTTCATTCTAGTTTTGTCGAATAAATCTCCAGTAGAGAAAATTACAATGTATTTTCATCATAGTTTTGGTCCTATTAACTTTTTTTTTCAGTTTTCATTACTGAAAACATGCAGCTCACAAAAACTATGACGAAAACATTTTCATCGACACTGCCCTGATGGAGAAATCACCCACCGACTCATCTTTTCCAGAGTATCAATCACCTGTATCAGGACATTGTATTGATGTAGGGGTCAGCAAGGGGAACCACTGAGTGCAGCTGGGACAAAGGAGGTTGACCCTTCCAGTGGGGGGAAATCTTCTGTAGACTCTATTAGGTGAGGTGGAGAGGTCTGCCTGGCTCTGCCTATCTATAGGCAGAGCCAGCTGTGCCCACCCCCTCCCCCGTCTGTTCCTCCACTCAGCGCTGGCGGATCAGAGAGATGAGGAGGGGAATCCCTGGGGGGAGCGGTGACTGACAAGTCACTGCTCACTGCAGGGAGACAAATCGGGAAGTGAGCGGATCGGCTGCATGTTTCTGCTCACTTCTCGATCAATAGGGACGACCTGTGACAGGTTCTTTGTCACACGTCTGCTCTAACTATGAGGATGACTGGAAATCACTCACCTCATAGTTCTCCTTTAAGGCTTAAATACACTGTATAACTTTCACTTCTAGGCCATACAAGAAAGAAACATACAGGGGCTCATCTAATTCAAATTGGAAAATAACTATAACTGACTACATCATCCAGCAAAACAAGTCTTTAGGTTATACTGAGCTTTGAAGTGCAACTCTAGTTCATTTGGAGAGGATTTTTCTTTTTTTATCAACACATTGCAAGGATGTAATCAAATTTCACCAGAGCACCTGCTTTTGTTCTGGAGATATTGCGCAGGCCTCACCAAAAAGTGGAGGGGACTGACTTCACCATAACCATAAAAAAAATCAGTAACAGGGTTGCAGGAGGAAAATCTGTAGCCTCAGCACCCCTTTGCATTTGCAAGAGCGTTATATTCTATGCTAAAAATTAAACTTCCATTGTGAGAAAGTCCTATAATGTTACTACAAGCTCTGTGGATAAAGAAAAGATGCAAGCACCGATTTTTAACAATTTTTAGAACTGCTGTCATGGTCGTCAGTAAGAAAAATACCTATTTTTCTTGTTATTTTAGAAAAGAGAAGCAGATTGAAATAAAATGGTCATTTTCAAAAACATTAAATTACAAATTGGCTTGTGCGACAATTCTGTATGATGTCACATGTCTATACACACCAATGCATAATGCTGGCGCTGGAGTGACACATGGTATGGCCTTGCAGTACCCCAAGCTGCCTCCCGTTAGGCCGGCTGCTTTGTATAATTACTGTGCAGTCTATTGTTCAGTCGGAGGCTCGGCAAACATTATTCAAACACACACGCAATAAGTACGCTGTTTACAGCGGATAAGGATGAGGGGAATACAAATAGAGAGGAAAAATGTGTTTCAGTGGCATTGTGAAGCTCAGGCCCACATACACCGTGTGCTTTAGGGAATTCAATTCCTAAAATTGCTCTAGCAGGCAGTGAAATAAATTAGTATGCCGAGTACATAGCAAACAAGAGTATCCATACATCAGCAGTATTGCAGCCCCACCACAGCTTACAAGAAAAAATAAAATAAAGCACAATGGCACAATAATGGGACACTAAAGCTGGCCATAAATGTAGATTTTCTGTGGTCAGATGGAAAAAGTACGGATGGAGGAAACTCCCACTGGGCCAAGTTTCAGCATCTTGCTGGCCGGCCCCGCTGCGCTTTCAAAATACCTGAGCAATCTAATTGGATGCAGGCATTGTTCAGGTGTTTTGAGAGCCAGTGGGCCGACTAGCAAGATACTGAAGCTTGGCCCAGTGGGAGATTCCTCCATCCATACAGCTTAGTGTAGATGGAGGAATCTGTTGCGCTTCTTCCATCTGACCATAGAAAATCTGCAGATAATCTATAGGTGTTTGGCCAGCGTTAGACATGCAGGGTGCTATCAAGTAAGGGAGCGTGTGAAGAGAAGAAAAAAAAAAAAAGAACATAAATACCTGGAGGGGAGCTCAATCAGGGAGTTCCCTCTACTCTGTAAAACAGAGAACTACTGTATATAGGCTGCGGTATGCAGAAGTGGTGAGAAGTAGACGAGCAAGTGAATAAAGATATTAGCTCCCGGACATAAATATACCCCTGGCTGCTGAATTTGCTTACCTAAGCAAAGGAGTCCCAATGCAGTATGTGCAATTTACTGAGAATCGAGCCAGTATATAACAGACACCACTGTAGATGTGGTTAGAATGATGTATTTTATGACACTACTCTGTTAGCCGTCCATACCTTCTAATTCACCATCACGGGCCTTGGCAGCTAGCTCTGAGGAAGAGATGGTTTCCTGACAGAGAGCACAATCTTCTAGAGCAGAACTCCTCAGGCCTTGGCTCACTGTAAAAGAAAGAAAAATCATTCACATATCCAAAGAAGACAGCAGACCTCAACAAAAGGAAAAAAATAAAAAAAAAATAAAATGTCATGCTCAAAATGGAAAACAATGCAAAATGCAAATGCATTTCAAAACAGGAAGCTTTTTGTTCAATTTGTGGAAATCAATTAATCCTGAACTCCATTCAGTTTATATCAATTCACCATTGGTAGCTCCTCCTACTATAGTAAGCCTCTAACACTCATCTTGTCTAAAGAATTAACGGAGAGGAATACTTACCTCATTCCCTGCTCTGCCGGCAACAGTCACACTTGTTGAAACCTGTTCCAGCTCTGGAATCTGTGGACGCCCTTTCAGTCATCACGTACAATGAAGGACCGCTAGTCATGCGTTGTATGTGATGAAGGGGGGGAGGGGTTGACGACAGCAGAATGACTGGTTAAGAGGAATGGTTGCGTGGGACTGCTGGTTTTTTTCACAAGTAAATGTATTTTGTTTTTAAAAGTATCAAACTTACGAGCAATAACCAGGCGTAAAAACAATGAAATGGTCATAACATAAAGTCAATACTAAAAGTCAACATCGAGAGGGGGACGGGGAAGTAAGGGGTTCCAGGGACCGAAACGAGACTGGTGGTTTTTGGGGAGGAAACCTGTGACAGTTTAATTTCTTTGCCCTAAAAATGTTTTCCTTTTCTGGTGTTATTGCTTTCTGAACTATTGCCACAAGAGGGCGGCAGTGTGTTTCAATGAATTTTGCAACAGACACGTACATTTATTAGAACTCAATGCAGTACTTTTTTTTTGTATTTTAAGTTTACTGGAAATCCATGATCATTTCTAGAAGGACTCAGTTATAACGGATGAACAGGATATTTTACAATGGCGACCTTCTGAAACCACTAAATACAACAGCTCATCTCTGTACCTATGCCGGCTCCCATTGTCTGCTGGTTACAATTTACAAATCTAACACACCAGGATAAGGATACTTATAAAGTAACCTTTATTTTCAGCTAAGTCCAATGAGATATTAAAATTCTGGTGTGTATATAAAAATATAAAATCAAAGTTTCTTATCCTTGGTATAAAGCTTTGTGAATTTGATCTATTGCAAAGTCTTTGTTCTAACACACAAAACATTGAACTCTCTAGCACCTCGTTAATTGCTCAAGTCTGCAAATATACACCATTCAAAACACAACTTGGGAGTCCTCTCTTCTTCTTCCCTGGTCTCGGGGACTTCTTTAGTGCTGCATCTCTACTGTGGAACTTCCTTCCAAGAATCACTATCCCTCCAAGCCTTTCATTGCTGTTGTGTGCCTTCATTTTTCTATTCAAGTAAATGCACTTTTGGAGCACTTAAGCCTATCTATATACAGTGCTCTCTGTACAACTGTATGCAACTTCACAGAAGGAGCAGCACCTTGATAAAGATGAAGGATGAAGAGAGGGTTGTGCAGACACAAAGCAATGATGAACTTTCCTAAAAGGGAGCAAAGCTTATATACAGCCCTTGTCCTGAAAACGTTAAATTGCCCACTTTCTTCAATAGACCATGCCAAAGTCATAACTTACACAGGGCGGAAAAACAGATGCTCCTGTTGCATACATTAAGGGAATTAAGGTTTGTTTTTTTATTTTTCTTAATCCACCCGAGTTGGACTCGCTCAGCCATCAGGTGGTGGGGGCCACATGTAAGTAGAAAATGGTTATTATTCCGTTCCTATTGTGTTGAGTTTCTATAGTACTAACCATCTATATCGAATGTGCCTTACAGACTTCTAATAAAGTGGAACATCGGCCAAAATGTTTTGTTTTGGATATGGTGGATAACAGATAAAACCTCACTTCTTGGGATAGAAAGTCAGATGGAATCTCTCCAATGAGGAAACAGAAGGCAAGAAGAACCTGACAGACATATGAACCCTTGACCGCTCCATCAAAAATGTTGGCAGGAGTTGTACTTTATGTTCCAGAAAGAAAACAATTAATGAGTGTTTGTCAAGCCACAACTGTCCATCTTATTTCATGCTGTAACAATACCTAAAGATTTTGCTAGGTGTGATCTACATATCTCCAGTATATTCTATATGTGGCCACACCGCCTCAGAATTTCTAAAGCTGACCATAGAAGACTTGCATTGCAGCTGATTCCTACTAAAATCAGCAACATTTGGCCATGGGTGTTCCCTGCAAGCACCAGCTAAACAAAAAAGTCAATTTAAAAATCAACTGAGCTAGGTGGAAACGTATGAGCCTAAAGCTGGCCATACATCTTACAATTATCTGCAGATTTTCTGTGGTCAGATGGAAAAAGTGCAACAGATTGGCCCAGGTGGAGATTGCTCCATCCACACAGTTAAGTGTAGATGGAGGAATCTGTTGCACCTTTTCCATCTGACCACAGAAAAGCTGCAGATAATTGTAAGGTGTATGGGCAGCTTAAGAGTGACTGCATCCTATCAGAGCTCCGGAACAAATTTAAAGAAGCTTGGAAATATTCAGATTTGGAAGTTGTCAGTTTAAGAAAAAACTCCAAACTAGCTCTGGCGAGGCAGCACCAGCACATTAAAGCTTCCCTCCATAGGTACCTGACAGTAGCTAAAATCATTGCACTACAGAAAGGAGTGCCAGGGCATAAATAGACGAAAGAGCCCAAGATCAATAATAATTGTTGGTAAATAGGTCTGATGAAAACATACAATGTGTTTCGGGGGCAAAAACATATCACTCCCCCTTCATCAGGGCTTGATACAAGATAAACTTGGATGGACTAATCCACCATAGAACATTGCATTAGGGGTAAAAAAAAAAAGAAAAAAAAAGGGCGTCATCCGAGTGATATCCAGAAAACGTTCCTCAAAATCTAGTCTCCTCGGGTAGACCATGACCGCACTTTTTTTTTTTAATCAATCTACAAATCTGATCCTCTTTTGAATAACTGTAGGGATTGCACACATTGCAATCCCAATTAGTTCTCATTACCAATTAGTTCTCATTACCGACATATGCCACCTGATCCTATCCTTACCCCCTCCAAGTGGCAAGATATGCTCGAATCAGAATGGCAATCACGTGTTTACACTAACCTTGCTATGCATTTCAATTGTATGGTCTTTCCTTTTTTAATTGTACGATACTGTGAGATAAGTTAGGTACTAACATCCATTGCACTCAATCTTACTACTGTTTTCCTTTTTTGGAAAACCCAATAAAAATGTTGTGAGGGACTAAAAAAAAAAATGGTTGTGCGCAATTTTTAGCATTTTGGGGTGTATTGGAAGATTATTTATTTGAATGGCCTTAATGCAACGCACTGCAAAGCAGTAAATGGGCCCTCAATGTTCTAACTATAGTTTTACAAAACGTGGGGGAAAAAAACAGATCTTATTTCATTGTAGCCAGTCTGCAAAATATAGTTTTCAATAATGTCCATGCATTTACAGAAGAATTAAAAACAAGCCATGAATTACCTTTTTTCTGTTTCCCTTTGTCATCGATTTCCTGTTTGGTGGCCATGACTTCAAACAAAGTCTTCAGGATACTCCTTAGGTCACTTGCATAGTTTGTCTGCAACTGATCAGCGACACCTGAGGATGACAATGAACACTTGTTAGGGAACAGTACTGGGTATCATACAGAAGGAGGTGAAACCGTATCTATTGCTTATAGCTTTTTTTTAAAAAACAATACAGACTAATGATTTCAGGAAATTGGTGGAGCACCAGGGCCCAGTCGCAGCGGCAACTCTAGTAGTTCTCGTGAAAATGCCACTTTTCAAGTTAAACATAAGCGGGTCACTCCTGTCTGGCTCTAGTGTTATAATATGTTATATGTGGAATAATGTGCCCTCTGCTGTACAGAAATTAGATATCATTTAGAAGTTTATTGAGCACATAAATGCATAAAGCTGTACTGTGCATTTATAAAGGTCACAGAACTGCTCAGTCCTTAGAAACTTATTACAAAAGGGCAGTGAATTCCTTTAAGAGCCATTCCAAGCAAAGTCAATAAAGTAGACTCAGGCCCGGTGCAGGCCTACGCGATCCGGGAACACGAGTCCTGGGATTGCACGGTCCTGCACTATGCAGGCCGCGATTGCCGTGCAGCCCCATTGATTTCAATTGGGTGACATCCGCACAGCAATCACAGAAAAAAGGTAAACAACGCGCGGCTGTTTTAGCGCAATCCGCCCGGCGCGACTAGGTTGCAATTAGAAAATAATGGCACACCTACAGCACGATCGGTGCACGCCTAGGCGACTACTGACCGGGCGGAATCGTGCACGATTGACGTGCGGTGATGTGTCGTCTAGGTGTGCACAGACCCTTAGGAACACACT